AGTAACTTTATGAGACTGTGCAATGCTCATTAACATCACATAGACAAGCGGAAGTGGAAAGTAAGTGTTAAGTATGTGATTCACAAGGTTTCTGATCGCATAAATGAATATTATTTCCGAAAATATATCTGCCTTTGCCTCGTTCCTCCTTCTTACATGCGTTCCTCCTGACTGATGTCTTCTATATTTCAGTTCTTGCACAAGAAGCTAGTGGGCTGGAATAAATGGCCTAAGTCCAAAGAGTGTGCAACACGTGCAACACCCATTTCTTAATGTCAATATTTACTGAACTGACCGATGATCAATAGACAGTCATGTCGTTCCTAACGTGGCCCTGGGATTTAACCCTCGTTACGCGTGGAACGTAGATTCGCGTAGATTTGACGAAGTTTAACCGTTGTTTCTGCAAATTCCCTAGAATAATTCCCTAGCATACAGAACCATGGCACGGCAGGCTTTGTGGAAAGAGTTACTCCTGTCTAAGCTGCAACATTGGACAGTTTTCCAAATCATGCGGCCAGAGCAATCCTCCTATTTAATTCCGCCGCTGATTTACCTCAGACATTTAAATTGGGCAATCTCCAATTTCAGCTCCCTTTTCCACGCGTAGAGAGGTAGTATATTAAGGCTACCGCCTACTGAAAGGTTTATAATGAGTTTGAGGTGGCTTTATCGAACTCAGTGATGCGAGACGCATCCGCTAACGCAAGTGCTGAAATGCTGTGGAATCGTGGCCTGCTTGAATAATTCCTCCTAGGCTACTGGAAAAAAGGAAGCGACGAAACTGTCTTTCTGCATTATGCGTATTGACCAAATTCCGGCGTCAAGAGCATCTTCTGGTGACACTTAATCTTACTGCGGGAATTCGCTCAAAAAGTAGCAGTTGTTGCGTCCGGAATATTAGGGTGAATGACAGCGTACCCGGATTAATGATGTCTGACGTTTTGGCTTCTCAACTCATCAGCAGCTGACTGGCAAGAAAACGAACTAGGAAATGAACGAGGACTTCTCTTCGCCACTTACACCACTTACATGGTCCAGTTCCACGAAATCAAGCATGCGACTTTTGTCCGGACTTATGCATTCATATCTCCAACCGCATGAGCAAAAGATGTCATTTAAGATTGTCAAATGAAATACGCCCTTTGCTGGACAGATGGACCAGTCGGCAATTTCGAGAGGCAATTATTGAGGTTCAGCGAGGTTCAGCTTCAAATGTTTATGCTATTTTGAATTTTACTGAAACAGTACTTAGATTTTTTGAATGAACGACGATTTTATAGGAGGCCTCAAGACGGGCCTGCATGAAATGCCTCCGCTTGAGCCGGGCATGATGCCTCCGACAGGAGGTGACCCGTGCTTTGCGCTGGGAGAGTTCGCGAAGAGGACTTTGCAACGGCCCATAATGTACGACTCGTTGAACCACTACAACCGCAAATCACTGATGAACGCGTTGGAGACACTGATCAAAGTAATGACCTGTTTAACGTCTGTCTAATGCTGAGATTTTTCAGTGGACAGTTGAACTACTTTTCTTCATGAATCACTCTCGTTTGATGATGGTGCTTATAACACCTATCTATCATGTAAAATAGAACCGCGCATGAAAGGTACTGTAGCCGAAGGTCAGCGTTTCCTCTGTGGGTTATTCGTCATTTTCAATGGAGGAGCTAACTAATTTCTGACG